TTGGAAGTGTGTCCGCAGATCTGCGTGCACGACTGCTTTCCGTTCTGGCTAAACCTGCACCCCTACCTTGCTTAATCACCCCTACCTTGCTGAATCACTCCTACCTTGCTTAATCACCCCTACCTTGTTTAATCACCCCTACCTTGCTTAATCACCCCTACCTTGCTTAATCACCCCTACCTTGCTTAATCACCCCTAACTTGCTTAATCACCCCTACCTTGCTTAATCACCCCTACCTTTCTGAATCACCCCTTCCTTGCTGAATTCTCCCTATCTTGCTGAATCCCCCCTACCTTGCTGCATTCTCCCTAGCTGGCTGAATCATTCCTACCTATCTTTATCACCCCTACCTTGCATAATGACCCCTACCTTGCTTAATCACCCCTACTTCTATTAGTCAACCATACCTTGCTGAATTCCCTCTACCATATTTAAGCACACCTACCTAGCATTAATTACCCCTACCTTTCTAATTTTCCCCTCTCTTGGGGAATCCCCCCTACCTCGCTGAATCCTTCCTTCCTTATTGAATCAACCCTACCTTGCTGAATCCCCGCTACCTTCCTTAATCACCCCTACGTTGCTGAATTCTCCCTATCTTGCCGAATCATCTCTTCCTTTCTAAAACCCCCCTACCTTGCTTAATCACCCCTACTCTGCTTAATCACCCATACCTTGCTTAATCACCCCTACCTTGCTAAATCACCCCTACCTTGCTTAATCACCCCTACTCTGCTTAATCACCCCTACCTTGCTTAATCACCCCTACCTTGCTTAATCACCCCTACCTTGCTTAATCACCCCTACCTTGCTTAATCACCCCTACCTTGCTTAATCACCCCTACCTTGCTTAATCACCCCCTACTTGCTAAATCACCCCTACCTTGCTTAATCATCCGTACTTCTATTAATCAACCCTACCTTGCTGAATCACTACTACCGTCCTTAATCACCCCTTCCTTGCTGAATTCTCCCTATCTTGCTGTTTCCCCCCTACCTTGCTGAATTCTTCCTATCTGGCTGAATCATCCCTACCTTGCTTAATCACCCCCTATCTTGCGTAATCACCCATACCTTGCTTAATCACCCCTACCTTGCTGAATCACCCCTACCTTGCTTAATCACCCCTACCTTGTTTAATCATCCCTACCTTGCTCAATCACCCCTACCTTGCTTAATCACCCCTACCTTGCTTAATCACCCCTACCTTGCTTAATCACCCCTACCTTGCTTAGTCACCCCTACCTTGCTTAATCACCCCTGCCTTGTTTAATCACCCATATCTTGCTTAATCACCCCTACCTTGCTTAATCACCCATACCTTGCTTAATCACCCCTACCTTGCTTAATCACCCCTACCTTGCTTAATCACCCCTACCTTGCTTAATCACCCCTTCCTTGCTGAATTCTCCCTATCTTGCTGAATCCCCCCTACCTTGCTGAATTCTCCCTATCTGGCTGAATCAACCCTACCTTTCTTTATCACCCCTACCTTGCATAATGACCCCTACCTTGCTTTATCACCCCATATTTTATTCATCAACCCTACCTTGCTGAATTCCCCCTACCATGTTTAAGCACACCTACCTTGCATTAATTACCCCTACCATTCTTTTTTCCCTCTCTCTTGCAGAACCCCCCTACCTTGGTGAATCCCTCCTTCGTAATTGAATCAACCCTAACTTGGTGAATCACCCCCTACCTTGCTTAATCACCCCTTCTCTGCTTAATCACTCCTGCCTTGCTTAATCACCCATACCTTGCTTAATCACCCATTCCTTGTTTAATCACCCCTACCTTGCTTAATCACCCCTCCCTTGTTTAATCACCCCTACCTTGCATAATCACTCCTACCTTGCTGAATTCTCCCAATCTTGCTGAATCATCCCTCCCTTTCTAAATCACCCCTACCTTGCTTAATCACCACTACTCTGCCTATTCACCCCTACCTTGCTTAATCACACCTACCTTGCTTAATCACCCCTACCTTGCTTAATTACCCCTACCTTTCTGATTTCCCCCTCTTTTGCGGAATCCCCCCTACCTCGCTGAATCCCTCTTTTTTTGGGGAATCAACCCTACCTTGATGAATCCCCGCTACTTTCCTTAATCACCCCTACCTTGCTGAATTCTCCCTATCTTGCCAAATCATCCCCCCTTTTCTTAATCACCCCTACCTTGCTTAATCACCCCTACTCTGCTTAATCACCTCTACATTGCTTAATCACCCCTACCTTGCATAATCACCCCTTCCTTGATAAATCACCCCTACCTTGTTCAATTACCCCTTCCTTGCTTAATCAACCCTACCTTGCTTAATCACCCCTACCTTGCTTAATCACCCCTACCTTGCTTTATCACCCCTACATTGCTTAATCACCCTTACTTTGCTTAATCACCCCTACTTCTATTAATCAACCCTACCTTGCTGAATCACTACTACCTTGCTTAATCACCCCTTCCTTGCTGAATTCTCCCTATCTGGCTTAATCATCCCTACCTATCTTCAACACCCCTACCTTGCATTATGACCCCTACCTTAATAATCACCCCTACTTCTATTAATCAACCCTACCTTGCTCAATTCCCCCTTCCATGTTTAAGCACACCTACCTATCATTAATTACCCATTTTCGACCAGTGTGCTTTTCGACCGGTGCGCTTTTCGACCATCATCCAGTCTAAACTCCCACCACCACTCGGACTAAACTCCCACCATCACCCGGTCTAAACTCCCACCAACACCGGGTCTACACTCCAACTATCACTCGGTCTAAACTCCTACAACTACCCAGTCTAAACTTCCACCACCACGCGGTCTAAAATCCAACACCAAATGGTCTAAATTCCAACCACCAACCGGTCTATACTCCCACCACCACCCGGTCTAAACTCCCAACACCAACTGGTATAAAATTCCACCACCACCCGGTCTAAATTCCCACCATCATCTGGTGCAAATTCCCACCACCCTTGTCTAAATTCCCACCACCACGCAGTCTAAATTCCACCCACAACCTGGTCTAAACTCCCACCACTGCCCGTCTTAGCTCCCACCACCACCTGGTTTAAACTCCCAGCACGACCTGGTCTCAACTCCTACCACCACCCGGTCTAAATTTCCACCACCCCCAGGTCTCAAATCCCACCTCCACCTGGTCTAATCTCCCACAACCATCCGTCTATACTCCCACCACCACCCAATCTAAACTCTCACCACCACCCAGTCTAAACTCTCACCCCCACCGGATCCAAACTCACACCACCACCCGGTCTAAACTCCCACTACCACCAAGTCTAAACTCCCACCATCATCCAATCTAAACTCCCACAACCACCCAGTCTAAACTCCCACCACCTCCCGTTTTAAACTCCAACCACCACCCAGTCTAAACTCCCAACACCACCCAGTCTAAACTCCCACCATCATCCAGTCTAATCTCCCACCACCATGTGGTCTAAACTCCCACAAACACCTGGTCTAAACTCCCACCACCACCCGGTCTAAACTCCCACCACCACCCGTTCTAAAGTCCCACCACCACCAGGTCCAATTTCCAACCACTTGCCTCAAAACTCCCATCACCACCGGGTCTAAACACCCACCACCACACGGTCTCAACTCCCACCACCACCCAGTCTAATCTCCCACCACCACTCGGTCTAAACTCGTACCACTACCCGGTCTAAATTCCCACCACCACCCGGTCTTAACTCAAACCACGGCCCACCTAAACTCCCACCACCACGCAGTCTATGCTCCCAACACCACCAAGTCTAAACTCCAACCACCACTCGGTCTAAACTCCCACCACCATCCGCTCTAAACTCCCACCACCACCCAGTCTACACTCCCACTACCACCCAGTCTAAATTCCAACCACCATCCGGAATTAACTCCCACCACCACCTAGTCTAAACTCCCACAACCAACCTGTCTAAACTCCCACGACCAAACGGTCTAAACTCCCAACACCATTCGGTCTAACTTCCCACCACCGCCCGTCTTTGCTCCCACCACCACCCGGTTTAAACTCCCAGCACGACCTGGTCTGAAATCCTGCCACCACCTGGTCTAAATTTCCACCACCACCTGGTCTAAAATCCCACCACCACCTGGTCTTATCTCTTACAACCATCCCTCTATACTCCCACCACCACCCAATCTAAACTCCCACAACCACCAAGTCTAAACTCCCACCACGACACGGTCTAACTCCCACCACCACGGGGTCTAAACTCCCACCACCATCCGGTCTAAAATCCCACCACCACACAGTCTAAACTCCAACAACCATCTAGTCTAAACTCCCACCAGCAACCGGTCTAAACTCCCACCACCACCCCGACTAAACTCCCAAGATGCATCAGAGAAGGCGGTGAGAAAGAGCCTCCCGGGTTCGACTCCATCCGCACCCTTTTGACGCCTTTGTGCCGCCGCGGAGTATTGCAGTCCAACAGTTGCTGTTTGGCCAAGTTAGTTGGCCACCCTCTCTCCAGCTGCTACCTGCTCCTCATTAGGGCATTGGACAACCCTAGCCAGCTGCCCGGTAGCAAAGGCTGCATCCGGCCTTGTGTGAACGGCCGCATACATGAGGCTGCCCACCAAGGAGTGAAAACGGGGCCTCTCCTCTTCACCAACACTTTCCTCCGCTGGTCCTTTCACACACTTGAACCCAGAGGGAAGAGGAGTAGCCACATGACCTTCACTCTTCCCAAAGTTTGCAGCCAAAGCCTCCAAGTACTTCTTTTGATGCACTCGCATCCACCGCTTCTCCACATCTCGCTCAATGTGAAGCCCAAGGTAGTAGTTGACGTCACCAAGGGTCTTGCACTTGAACTTGTCTTGAAGCTTCAGCATCACCTCCTTCACAAGGTCAGAGGAGGGTGAGAATATGAGGATGTCATCCACATAAACCACCATGAAGCTCCTCTGCTCCCCCTCGCCAAGCATGAACAAGGATTGATCGGCCGTTGAGGGAGTGAAGCCTATCGCCTCCAAGACTTCCCGCAGCTTGATGTACCATTGCCTAGGGGCTTGCTTGAGGCCATAGAGTGCTTTCTTCAACTTCCACACTCTGCCACTCCCATCATTGTACCCCTCTGGCTGCTCCATGTAGGTCTCTTCCTCCAAAACGCCGTTGAGGAAGGCCGTTACAATGTCCATTTGCTTCACCACCCATCCTTTGATGGCCGCCGCGACGAAGAGAGTTCGAAGGGTTGTACCCTTCACCACAGGAGCATACACTTCATTGTAGTCTTTCTTCTCCTGCTGCTGGTACCCCTTGGCTACAATTCTGCTCTTGTAGCGCTCAATGTTGCCGTCGGCGTCGGTCTTGCGCTTGAAGAGCCACTTGGAAGAAATCGCCTTACGGCCCGGAGGTAGGTTCACCAAGTCAAACGTGTCGTTCTCAATGATGCTCCCCATTTCTTCATCTGAGGCCTTCTTCCACTCCTTCCCATTGGGGCCCTCCCAAGCCTCCTTGGGATTTGTAGGCTCCCCCGGTATCTCCACCGGAGAGAAGAAGGCAAAAGCGCACTCCTCGCTTTCATCTTCCGCATCATCGCCTAGCATGAGAGCCGAACCGGTCAAGGTTGAGTTGGCTGGTCCTCCAAGCCGTTCATAGCTCAACCTATTGGGGGGCTGAGTCCTCCTTCTGCCCCTTCCTTCCTTCTCTGCTGCAGGGACTTGAATGCTCTCATGGCTTTGCGGTAAATCCGGTCGGTTCCCGCGAGCACATGTAGCACGAGGCGGAAGTGGCGGTGCACGCTCATTACCTTGCTGCACCTCCTCCTCCTCCTCATCCCCATTCATTTGGGGAGATTGCCTCGTGATTGTGCTGCTGCTACTCAGCTCCAAGGGCAGCTCCACATGCTCCAAGCCGGTCCTCTTCACCTCTCCAAGCCGCACACCAATCTTCGCTTGGTTCTCCGCCTTCCACTCCTTGTACGGTAAGTTCTCCATGAACTTGCAATCTCTGCTCACCAGGAACTTCTTGGTAAATGGGTCCCATAGAAGCCATCCCTTGCTGTTTTGAGCCATGCCCAGGTGCACGGCCCATGTTGCCTTGGCATCAAGCTTGTTGTGCCGAAGTTTCTTAGGCACAAGTGCCATGCACATGCACCCGAACACCCGAAGCATATCCACCTTCGGCTTCCTTCCAAACCACTCCACATAGGGCACCCATTTGTCTTCTCCCACATGAGTCAAGGCTCTGTTCTTGGCCACACAAGCATGTCGCACCGCATCCGGCCAAAAGTAATTGGGTAGACCGGCTTCAATGAGAAGTCCCCGAGACGTCTCCGTGAGTGTCCGATTCGCACGCTCGGCGATGCCGTTCATTGCAGGAGAGTAGGGCATGGTAAGAGAGTGCCTTATGCCCTGATTCTTCAGCCAAGTTGAGAAATCCTTGCTCAGGAACTCTCCCCCACGGTCAGTGCGAATCGCCTTCACAAGTCGGTCTTGTTGCCGCTCCACCATCGGCAACCAATCGGTCTTCACCGTTTCAGCTACGTCACTCTTCTTGGGCAGCACATACACCCAAGTCATGCGAGTGTAGACGTCCACAATGGTGAGGAAGTACTCTGCTCCAGCAGCTCCAAGCTTCAAGGGGCCCACCACATCCATCACCACCTCATCAAGTGGTGCCTTCGCCGTTGTCTCCGAGCTATGGAACGGGTAGCGGGTGAACTTGGCTTGCATGCATGTTAGACAGCCAAGCACCTCATTGGGATCCCCCTTGACACGTATCCCACTGACCATCTCTTGCTTAACAATCTGCTGCAAAATGGGCAATGCCACATGCCCCATTCGCCGATGCAAGGTCAGCCAATCACACTCTCCCGTAGCGGAAGTCGGGTTGGAGAAAGCGGCACTCGCAATTGTGCCCCACAAGCTCTCTCCTTTCTCCTTCGCCGCTGCTGCTTTGTTGAGCTTAGCCTTCTCCTCCTCATTTCCACCACCTTTGGCTGCTGCACCATTCTCATTGGGTTCACACGCCTTGCTGGTCTCTCCAAGGTTGCACTCCTTCGAGTCACTCTTGGTGTCACTTTGCTTTCCGTGATCACCGCCACCAACCGCTTCACGCTTGGTGCTGACGCTTGCTGCCACTTGCCTCTCTTTAGGCATGAGGACCACTGGGATTTGCCACATCTCATTGTAGATGTCCCTGTCCTCATGAAGGTCCCAAAGCTTCCGCTCACCAAGCCTTGCGGTATAGGTTTTGGATCCCTTGGAAGATGTGTCCATGCCGGCCTTTTGCAAACGCCGAACGGAAATCAGGTTGGCAGCTAGTTTGGGCACCAAAAGCACGTTCTTGAGGCCCACCATCTTCCCATCAGCACCCTTGAACATGGCCTTGCCCATGCCCTTCACCTCTGCTCGCTGCCCCAAAGCCGATGTAACATGCTTGACCGGCGACGGTTCGAGTTCGGTGAGCAAGTCCGCACGAGGTGTCATGCTGTAGGTGGCGCAACTATCGATCACCCAAAAGTCCAGAGAGTGAAGGGTGACCTTTCCCACAGTAGCTGGCTCCTCAAAGCCTTCCACACCTCCTGCTGCAGCTGCCGCTTGCGTGGAGACAAAGAAGAATTGGCCCGGGTATCGATCTTCACTTGAGTCCTTGTCGTAGTCTCCACCTTTCATGCTTGCCGCTTCGCTTCCACGACCACCACGGCCTCCACGACCTTTGCCTCTTCCTCCCCTTGCTCCTGTGCCCTCTTGGCCTTGAGAAGGGGTCCATCCATCAGGCAATCTGAAGAAATCTCTCCACATGTGGCCGGTCTTGTGGCAAAAGTGGCGTTCGCCATCAAATCGACCGCGCCCACGCCCGTAGCCATTGTTGTTGTTGTTGCTGCCATATCCTCCATTACCACGGCCTCCATTGAAGTAGCTGCTGCCAAATCTTCCTCCTCGCCCTCTGCCCCTTCCACGGCCTTGCTCACGGCCCATGCTTGCAACTCCGGCACCATCGGGACCCGCCAATTCGCGACGGCGGAAATCTTCTTGTAAGATTTTCCGCTTCACATCTTCGAGTGAGAGACGGGGCAGATCTCGATTTAGGTTGATGATGAGCGAGGACCATGAGTCCGGAAGTAAGGCCAGCAGCTTGGTCTTCTTTTGAAGGTCACTGTAGTTCAGGTCAGCTCCTTCGAGCCGTGTCAACAAGTCGAAGAATTTCTGCACTCCTTCCTCCACCGGTTCGCCTTCGTCAATTCGAAGTGCCGCCATTTGCCGCTCCAAAACCACAGCCACCGCCGCTGTTGCAGGAGCGTGTACACCCTTGAGAGCAGCCCATGCCTTTGGTCCCTTTGCTGGTTCACGCTGAAAAGGCTTGATGTGACGGATTTGGCTGCTCCCCAACGCTTGCCCAAGTAGAAGGTAGCCTTGTGCGCTCTTCCGCACCCACGGGCTCTTCTCCGGGTCGTTCTCGGGGCGCTTCTCCATTACTTCCATCACCTCCAGCAGATCATAGTGGTCAAAGATGTTCTCCATCTTGAAGGACCACTCAGCAAAGTTGTCACCGTTGAACTTGTCAAGGCCAAACACTCTAGGCTCATCCCTAGAGGGTCCAAGGCTAGGTTGCACCGGAGTAACGGGTGGATCTTGGTGTTGACCTTGTGCTTGGGCGTCTTCTCTGCCTCCAGCACCTCTGCCATCCCCTTCCTCAGGTCTAGGCATGGTCGAGACGGCTCCAAGGAGCTCTGATACCACTTGTTATAATCACAATAGGCTGAGATGTGCCTATAATGAGAGATAGAGAGCACAGTCGAATTTCCGTCAGACGGCTTCAAATGTTGATAACGATCAGGTCGCTGAGTCAAACTATGATCTGTAAGTTGGATCTGAAGCGCGTTGCTGTTGTCTATCAGCAGCAAGTTGAATCATGAAATTCCATGAAGATTTGACGACGCTATGGTGGTTTGACTGGCAGGAGGTATAGCAGCCACTATAGTCTTGGAAGTACACACTTAGCAAGAAGAGTTCGAGAGGGAGATAGTTCCCAGCCTCTACATACCCCAAGAGCCGAGGTCCAGGTTGGTGGTACACCACCACAGAGTCCCCAACCATGAAGAGTCTCGAAACCAACCCTCCAAGGGCCTACACCGAGTGAAATGTAACACTACACGAAGTAGCGTTACTATTTTCACTATTTAATATTTATCCGTGTCGCTTGGGCTTGAAATCTTGAGCTCTTGGTCTTGGATCTGCAAGATATATTCTTCTTGAGTTGATGGGGGCTTGCTGCACACACCTGCGACACGATGGACACTTCACACTCGACAAAATAGAAAAAACACATGCGACACACAAACGACGACTTGACATGCGAGTTGTAAAAACTCGCTAATGTCTTGACCGATACAAACCACATTGTGATACACCATTCAAACACACACACAAGCACTGGATAGCAATGACATAGACTCACAATTCATTCCATGCCATGCATGCACACACACAAACAAGGACGACAAGCCGAGTGCAAGCCATAGGGTTGCACCAACATGGGAGAAATAGTGTGGAGAGATAGTGTGGAGAGATTGTGTGGGAGAGAGGAGAGACAGTGGAGAGATAGTGTGAAATTGTGTGATACTGTCTGATAGTGTGTGAGATAGTGATAGTGTGTGGGATAGTGTGGGAGATAGTGGAAAGATAATGTGGGAGAAACAGTGTGGGATAGTGGAGAGATAGTGTGGGAGTATGGAGAGATAGTGGAGAGATAGTGTGGGAGAGTGGAGAGATAGTGGAAAGATAGTGGAGAGATAGTGTGGGAGAGATAGTATGAGATAGTGTGGGAGAGATAGTGTGGGAGAATGTGAGTGTGTGGTGAGATAGTGTGGGTTAGTGGAGAGATAGTGGAGATAGTGGAGAGATAGTATGGGATAGTAGAGAGATAGTGTGGGATAGTGTGAGAGAGTGGAGAGATAGTGTGGGAGAGAGTGTGGGAGAGTGGAGAGTGGAGAGATAGTGTGTGATAGTGTGTATCGTGTGGGAGGGTGGAGAGATAGTGGAGAGATAGTGGGAGATAGTGTGGGTGTGTGGAGAGATAGTGTGGGAGAGATAGTGTGAGAGAGAAAGTGTGAGAGATAGTGTGGAAAGATAGTGTGGGATAGTGTGTGATAGTGTGTGATATATTGTGGATAGTGGATACACACAATCTCCACACTATCTCCACACTATCTCTCCACACAATCTCTCCACTCTCCCACACTATCTCTCCCACACTATCTCTCCACTATCTCTCCCACACTATCTCTCCACACTATCTCTCCACACTATCTCTCCACTCTCCCACACTCTCTCCCACACTATCTCTCCACTCTTCCACACTATCTCTCCACTCGCCCACACTATCTCTCCACTATCTCCCCACACTCTCCACTCTCCCACACTATCTCTCCACTATGTCTCCACTCTCACACACTATCTTTCCACTCTCCCACACTATCTCTCCACTATCCCACACTATCTCTCCACACTATCAACACAATCTCCCCCACTCTCCCACACAATCTCTCACACTCCCACACTATCTCTCCACAATCACACACTCTCTCCCACACTATCTCTCCCACAGTATCTCTCCACTCTATCTCTGCACACTATCCCACACACTCTCTCCACTATCTCTCCACTCTCCCACACGATCACACTATCTCTCCACTATATCTCCACTCTCCCACACTATCACACACTATCTCTCCACAGTATCTCTCCACTCTCCCACACTATCTCTCCACTCACACACTATCTCTCCCACACTATCTCCACTATCTCTCCACTATCTCACACTATCTCTCCACTCTCCACACTATCTCTCCACTCTCCACTATCTCACTACCTCTCCATCTCTCCCACACTATCTCTCCACTCTCCCACACCATCTCTCCACTCTCCCACACTATCACTATCCCACACTATCCACACAATCTCTCCACTATCTATCCCACACTATCTCTCCACTCTCCCACACTATCTCTCCACTATCTCTCACACTATCTCCCACACTATCCCTCCACTCTCACTCACTATCCCACACTATCTCTCCCACACTATCTCACACTAACTCTCCACACTCCCACACTATCTCCACACTATCACATACACTCTCCCACACTATCTCCACTATATCCCACACTATCTCTCCACACTCCCACACTATCTCTCACACTATCTCTCCACTATCCCACTCTATCTCTCCACTATCTCACACTACCTCTCCACTCTCCCACACTATCCCTCCACTCTCTCACACTATCTCTCCACTCTACCACACTATCTCTCCACTCTCACACACTATCTCTCACACACTATCTCTCCACTGTCCCACACTATCTCTCCACTCTCCCACACTATCTCTCCACTATCTCTCACACTATCACACTATGTCACACACTATCACACTATCTCTCCACACACTATCATACACCTCCCACACACAATCACACTATCACACTCTCCCACACTATAGTGTGGGATAGTGGAGAGATAGTGGAGAGATAGTGTGGGAGAATGGAGAGATAGTGGAGAGATAGTGTGAGAGATAGTGTGGGAGAGATAGTATATGAGAGTGGAGAGATAGTGTGGGAGAGTGGAGAGATAGTGTGGAGAGATAGTGTGGATAGTGTGGGAGAGATAGTGTGGGAGAGTGGAGAGATAGTGGAGAAATAGTGTGGGAGAGTGGAGAGATAGTGTGGGAGAGTGGAGAGATAGTGGAGAGATGGTGTGGGGAGATAGTGTGGGAGAGTGGAGATAGTGTGTGATAGTGTGGGAGATAGTGTGAGATAGTGTGGGAGATAGTGGAGAGATAGTGTGTGGAGAGATAGTGTGATAGTGTGTGTGAGATAGTGTGGGATAGTGTAGGAGATAGTGGAGAGATAGTGTGGGATAGTGGAGAGTGGAGAGATAGTGTAGGGGAGTGGAGAGATAGTGGAGAGATTGTGTGGGAGAGATAGTGTGGGAGAGTGGAGAGATAGTGTGGGATAGTGATGGTGGAGAGATAGTGTGGGAGAGTGGAGAGATAGTGGGGAGAGTGGAGAGAGAGTGTGGGAATGTGTGGGAGAGAGTGTGGGAGATAGTGTGGGAGAGTGGAAAGATAGTGTGTGAGAGTGGAGAGATAGTGTGAGATAGTGGGAGATAGTGTGGGATAGTTTGGGAGAGTGGAGAGATGGTGTGGGAGATAGTGTGTGAGAGATAGTGGAGAGATAGTGGAGAGAGAGTGGAGATAGTGTGATAGTGTGTGAGAAAGTAGACAGTGGAGATGGTGGAGAGATAGTGTGTGAGATAGTGTGGGAGATAGTGGAGATAGTGAGTGAGAGATAGAGTGGGATAGTGTGGGATAGTGGAGAGTGGAGATAGTGTGATAGTGTGTGATAGTGTGATAGTAGAGAGATAGTGTGAGAGATAGTGTGGGAGAGATAGTGTGGGAGAGTGGAGAGATAGTGTGGGAGAGATAGTGTGGGAGAGAAAGTGTGTTAGTGTGGGATAGTGTGGGAGAGTGGAGCGATAGTGTGGGAGAATGGCGAGATAGCGTGGGAGATAGTGTGGGATAGTTTGGGATAGTGGAGAGATGGTGGAGAGATAGTGAAGAGATAGTGGAGAAAGAGTGTGGGATAGTGGAGAGATAGTGTGTGGGATAGTGTGTGATAGTGTGGAGAGATCGTGTGAGATAGTGGAGAGAGTGGAGATAGTGGAGAGATAGTGTGGGATAGTGTGTGAGAGATAGTGCGGGAGAGTGGAGAGATAGTGGAGAGATTGTGTGGGAGCGTGGAGAGATAGTGTGGGATAGTGTGGAGAGATAGTGTGGGAGAGCGGGGAGAGTGGAGAGATAGTGTGGGAGATAGTGGAGAGATAGTGTGTGAGATAGTGTGGGAGATAGTGTGGGACAGTGGAGAGATAGTGTGGGAGAGTGGAGAGATAGTGTGGGAGAGATAGTGGAGAGATAGAGGAGAGATAGTGTGGGAGAGTGGAGAGATAGTGTGGGAGAGTGGAGAGA